ACCATTGCTGCTCAGCAAAAGCTGCACCGGCTCAACCTCTGCTTGCCTTGGCTGTTGCTCCAGCCTACCCCAAAGGAGCAACACACGGTTTGCTCTCACAGCTGGCCACTGGAGCCCTCCCAGCAACTACGTTCAAGCTGCACGGTTCACTAAGGAACGGCAAGGAGCTGCTTCCCCCCGACCCCCCCCCCGACAGATTTTTGGACCACCTAGGTCAGGGCTGCTTGCTCTGACTGGCATCGGCTCCTTCCTCTCTCGAAGGCATGATACCTGCCCTGCAAACTTCGCTTAGTCCCTTTCTAGCAGTAAGAGGAGTTAAGCGCTTTCATAGGTAGTGAAGGAGTTGCAACTTTCCCCTTGAATTGGAGGCTGGTATCCTATTTCTGGGCAACCACTGCTGCAAGACTGCATGTCGTCCTACAGCGCATCTAGCCCCGCCTCAAGACAGAAGAATCCACTCCGCATTTCCCCATTAGTTGCTTCAAACCAGCAACACGGGTGGCTAGGTGGGTGCGCGCGCGCAGAGCACTGCGGGAAGCAAATCAGTTGCCCACCGAGTATCGCCTGCGCTGTCTGGCAAAGGCGGGCCTCCCTCCAGACTCTCCCCGGCAGAGCAAAGGCTCTTTCTTCACAGGGTACCTCGACCTGCAAAATGCCTGCTCTGGCACGAAGCTACGGCCCACCCTTGAGCCCAGCGCCCGCCCACTGTGCGACCTTCCTCACCCAGAGCGACGCGCCCGCAGCTCCCGCCATGGCAGCAAAAGGAGGATGCACATGGGCTCCACTTCCGGCAGAGAGCCGGAAACTGAGCTACAAAGCGCGCTGCACTATAAACAGACAAGAGGCAAAACTTCCGTCTTCTTTTATAGTCTCTCAATTCCCGAGTTTAGGGGCAGCCTCGATTAGATTCTGCCTTCCCCCCCGAAATGATCCCAGCAGGGCTGCAGATCGAGCGCTCAGGGGCAGCCGAAAGCCGTGTGCATACCGAAAAGTTGCGTTTTATAGTATTTAAAAACCGCTCGCATTTCCCATGCAAAATAAAACCCTTTTAATGCAGCTTCGCTCTCTTTGGTCCAGTTTGAATAGTTGCCCATCTTTTTTTCGCAATGTTGTGTCGGGTGCTAAGACTTCGCAGAGTGATATGAAAAGAAAATGATATCAACAACGGAAGAAATATTATGGGCTGCCCGAAAAAGTCCTTATGGACTCCAGCCCCATATACAACCCGTCTCCCGACCCAGAAATCGCAGGTGGGGCTTTACCCCACCGCCATCATCTCCAAGTCCCTTCCTCCAGCCAACCAAGCAGGACCGATCTCCGGGACCCCTGTTCCCCAGGCTGCCCGAGGCAGAGGCGTAGGGCGCCTTCCTGGAAGGGGCGAGGCAGGCCGGACAGGCGTGAAGGGAGTTGGCCAGCATGAAACGAGAGAGGGAGAAACAGCAGCTCCCTTTGATTGGCTGAAGAGGCACAAGAGACAACGCGGGAGCATCTGGCAACTGCTGCAGATGATCCCACCCCCCAGCCGTCGGGGCATCTTGATCCCTCCCTCTGGTGACTTCGCACGTGCAGCGCAGCTGCAGCAGCAACCATCACCCTAGAAACCCCCTGCCAGAGACAGTGTCCCGGTCTCGGCCCTCGTGCTCCGTCCTCTATCCTCCCCAAGTCCGCTTTCTCTGCCACTGTCTGTTAGAACCTGCCCGGCTGCCCCCTTGATTTCCCTGGGCAAGCAGCGCCGCGGCGAAGGGCCAGCTGCCCATAGCCTTCCTTTCCACCCTCTGCACTTTGTGGGCCTCCAGGCAGAGGAGCGAGCAGAGATCGCCCCGCTGGGACCGGGACGGTGCTGAGACTACAGGGTCCCAGGCTCTGAGCCAGCGCTGCCCTCCGCGCTCCCCGCTCCTGTCCCGCCCACCGACTACGTCAGGGGAAGGACCCGTTAAATGTCGTCACTTACGCCAACGCCCCCTTCCCGGCGGGATGGCGCGCGGGAGAGGGAAGATGGCGGGCGGTGGCCGTGGAGAGTCTCTTGCTGCGTCGCCCGAAGGAGCCGCGGAGGCTCGCGAAAAGGCCTTGGAGGAGGCGGTGAACCGGTGGGCCATCCTCTTCTACGCCCACCGGGCCCTTCAGGCTTTCCGGGCCGGCCGCAGCCAGGACTTTCGCCAGCTGCGGGACGTCATATACGGTGGGGAGACCAGTTTGTTTTACGAAAGGGGCATTTGGGGAACATTCTCGCTGGGTTAAATAACTGTAAAGGTATTTCCTGCTAAGGAACGTGAGTGTAAATAACTAATAATAATTTTATTAGTTATACCCCGCCCATCTGGCTGGGTTTCCTCAGCCACTCTGGGCGGCTCACAGCACCTATCAGAACATACTAAAACATCAAACATTAAAATATGTCACGTAATAGCCCTGGTTCCACTTATGTCACTGTTACTTATTTACATTTATATATTACATTCAATAGTCATTGGGTGTTTTCATTTAAGAAATAATGAACCTAAAGCAACTTAAAATATAATACAGCCTGTGTCCCTGGAACGTTTGTCATTTGCCTTTAGAAATTAAGGGAAATAATAATAAAATTTTATTTATACCCCGCCCTTCCCGGTTCAGAAAACTGGGCTCAGGGTGGCTAACAAATTTAAAACAATTGTGATACAACAAAAAACAGCATAAAATACAGTATAAAAGCGTGAATAACAATAAATTCAAAGTTCTAAAATCAATTTGGGGGGGGGGAATCCATCCAATAATGATTTTTAAAGAAAATGCACAAAGTACAACTAACCAACAGCACAGAATCCAGAAGGAAGGTCTGAAAACAGCCAGCTGTGATTCTCAGGAAGATGGTTAGGATACATACATCCCCCCTTAAATGAATGCTTCCTAAAGCCCATCACAGATGGTCAGGAGAAGGGTTAGGATCTCCCCCCCCCCCCCCGCCACCTTTAGCCTCCTAAGTACCTGAAAACATCAGAGCCCTCTTGAAATCTATTTCAAATTGGAGAATGTTGATGTGTGTATTAAGAGATTGAGTTTAATGAGTTTTGGGTGTGGCCTGTAGTTGAGTGTGATGGTTTCCAGAAGCCAACCATTAGGAATGGCCTAGCACCTTTGGAGTGTAGTTCTAAGAAACTCAACTACTGTACTTTACCATTCATTTTCTTACAGTAATTACTTCCGTGTGTCTATAAATATTTTAATGTTTCAATATTTTAATGTTGTATTTTAATGTTGTATTTTAATTTTGTTTTTAAGTTGTAATCATTCAACTTGATTTTAGTATTGCTTGTTAGCCGCCCTGAGCCCGGCCTTGGCTGGGGAGGGCGGGGTATAAATAATAATAATTATTATTATTATTGTTATTATTATTATTATTATTATTATTAATAATAAAATCTGTACATACTGCATTTCTGCCCCACAAAACAGAAACTCCATCAAGATCACTCACCACAAAGATTAAGACACTAAAAAAAAGAAGTGTGTGTTTGTGTATATATAGATACTAAAGGATATTGTAGATCACACACAAAAAAGCAAGCAAATGCAAAGTGACTCCTGAGCCAAAGGGCATGTTGGGATGAAGCTGTCTGTCTGTATATGGCCAGGGATACAAGATATGGGACAGGGCTTTGGTGCCCTGGCCCAAACCTCGTTACACCTGGTTTGCTGAACTATCTGATTTTGCTTAGTGGCTGTTTTGACTGTCTTGTTCTTCTCCAGCTGTGCTTGCAAGGCCCCTAGTGCTAGAGAAACGCATTGGCATTCAGCTGCGGATTATCCAGCTTCTGTCTAGGATTGAAGAAGATTGGACCATTGATACCAAGACCAAGTTAACACCTCTTGAATATGCCCTTGTTCTTTTGGATAAGATGAAGAATGAATTGGACATAGACATTGATATAATAGAAGAAATAAGAAAAAAAATAAAGGAAGCAGTAAGTGTTAGCATTTCCTCTTCTGTAGGCACTGATTACTGTTTCTCAGCCTAGTTAGTATGAGGACAGCTGTCTTAAGTTTCAAAATGCAGTATATTTAGGAAAGGGTTTAATTAAGGTGCTAATTCAATGCCAGGATGAACTCTTGCCTATTTTTCTCCATGCTTAAATTGGACTTTTAAATAAGTTCACAAAAGTTAATAGAAGCAAGGAGGCAAGATTCCTATATGCTGGGATGAAATGAGAGAGAAATGTCTCCTCAGAGTGCCTGAGTTTATTGGAACTCAGCATGTTTTGAAAACTTGTTTCCTTTGGGGGCAATCCAGGAAAAGCTGGCTTCTTGACTCTCCTGAGGCATACATTATTTCAATGTTGTTAGCCTACAGACTTTTAAGTAACTTGCCTTACTTGATTTTTTTTAAATTCTTTAATAAGTGGTCTAATATTACACAATGAAAACTGCCAGAGGGATATCTCTCGAACAGTATCTTCTTAGATTAGGAACATTCCCCCAAAGTCTTCCTTGCAAACCATTATTTTGTCTTTCTTCTCCAGGCTGTTATAACCTGTCTAAAAAACAAAGAATATGAACAAGCCAGCAAGATCTTGAGGAAACACATGTCAAAGGACCCAAGTTCCCAGGTGAGCTTTCAGCAGGTATGAGTTCATGTCGCTGTTGTTGAAATGTGCCTCTTATAGGGTCATTTCACTGCAAAGCAGAGTCATGGTTTGTCCTTCCCACATTCTCCAATTCAGTGAGTGTCTTAAATACTTGAGAGTTTATTGTCCCCCTTACGCAATGAGAAAAATTGCATCCACAAGCAGCCCATGTTGCTACAGATTGTGGTCCACATCTCTAGTCATCATTATTTTCATGCATTTTTGACATTGCCTAGAGACTGCTCTGGTGGCTTGGCTTGTTTTGTTTAAACTTCTAATGACTGCAAAAATTGCTTTTATCTCTGCCCTGTGCTGCAATTTGCTTGCAAGTACTGAAAAACATTTCCCCTTGCTTAGAAAATGAGGTCGATGTTCCAGAGCATTATCCGAGAAAAAAACTTCGCTCATCCAGCCATCTGGAACTTCTCCTATAAAGCTTTCCAGCAGAGAATACTTCTGTATTTAGAAAGCTGCTTGAGTGACTCTGAGCCCTTTCTCTTAGAGGTAAGCAAGGGTGTGGAGTGCTGCTTGATTGAGATGTGGGATGTTGTAGTGGGAGCATAGCTTAGTAGTTGAACATCTATTTTGCATGCAGAAGGTCCCAAGTTCAATCCCTGGCATCTCTAGGTAGGACTGGGAATGTCCCCTGCTTGAAACCCTGGAGAGCCGCTGTCACTCAATGTGTGGTGATAGGAAACTAAATGAACCATTGGTCTGGCTTGGCATAAGGCAGCTTGCTTTCTTCATATATTTCTGTGTGTTGCTGGAGCACATATCACCCACATTGCCACAGCAGAACTCTTGCCGTCTAAACACTGTGATCAAAAAAGTACATTCAGCACCTGAGGCTGGCTTAAGACAGAAGCCTCCCTGGCCAAACTGTTATGTGTTTGGGAAATATTTTTGTGAAGAGCAAAGTACCCCACAGCAGAACAGCACAGGGCTCCAGTGTCACATTTGACATATATCAAGCTTGTAACCTGACAATGTTTTGGACTAGCAATCTAGCAATTCCCAACAGCTCCAGCATCATGAGGCTGTGCTGACTGGGGCTTAGGGGAATTGTAGGTAAAGCATCTTCAGGGCACCAGCTTGGGCATGGCTGCTGTATATAACTAGAAAAAAGAAAATAAAGTTGAGAAGTGTCCTCTAGTAACTGTGTTCACATTCTCTGTTTAAGATGGCAAAAAGGGATTCAGCTGATCAGATAGAGACCAGGCTCAATCCTTTGGAAATGGCCAGCAAGGAGGAAATGGTGAAAGAAACCTCAGAGGTGGCGGCAGCAGATGAACCTGAATCTGTAGGAAGATCTGATGAGACTTTGGAAGAGCCCTGGCCTGAGGCAGGGCCTAGAAATACAGTGGAAGAACAGCCAAAGTCTCTGGAGGGAGGCCGTGAGACAGTTGCAAGGCCTTTGATGGAGGCAAAGGGAGCTGTTTTGGAGCTTGCCAAAGTGGTTGATGAGTGCCAGGCAGCTTCAAAGCCAGAAGAAGAAACCAGTGGAGCTGCAGAGCCTGCTGTGGTTGCTGTTGCCACTGTCTCAGCAGTTTCCAGTGACTCTGACAGGTTAGCAGCCTATGGCCTCTTACAGTTTTGACTCCCTTTGCCCTGCTGGGCAGCTGTTTTGCCATACAACTTCTGGCTCTCAGCACTCAGACTCAAATTGCACCTGCTGCCGGGGGAGCAAGGTCTGGGGGTGAGGTCAGCAACATAAATTGGCAAAACTTGTGGAGCAACCTTCTGATGTTTTTTTATTTTGCAGATGCTCGCCTAAGAGGATGGGCTCGTATGGGTTTTCTACTCTGAGGGATGCTTTCAAGATCCTGTCCAATTCCCCAGATGCAGATGAAGAGTTTTCAAAACTGGACAAGTTGGACTGGACTTTCCCCAAGCCATGTTTGGCTTCTGATTTCCACGCAGCCAAGTGCCAAACGGAGAAGAACCGTGATGCCTCCAGGCCGCACCCCAGTGAACGCTCAGTGTCCATAAGCACACTGGTTATGGGGTCAGAGAGCTGGAACCCCCCAACTTCCTCCCGAGTTCCATCCAAGAGGCCTGTGGCAACTTTGGTTGTCCGGCCTGCACAGCCCCAAATAACCACCCAGCCTGATAATACCTCCCGATGTCCCAGGTAAGAGGCCATGACTGCTGTGGGGTCTGCTGGGGAACCGGCATAGCATGAGGCATTTGGTGCAACTTTCACCTTTGCAAGGAATCCATTAGAAGGCCTTAGGCCTCAGCCCAGAAGCTCCAAGGAAGGCAAAGGTGGTTTGCAGTGGTAGGGTTGCATCGCTGTGCATCTTCTCCCCCAGCTAGTAGAAGCAGCTGGCAAGAGAATCTGGTTCACATACCTTGTCTTAATTTTTATTACTCAGATTGCAAAGATAGCAGAATTGACAATACGGTCTCTGGCCCCATTAAAGATTGCTAAACAGATTTATTGTGGCAGAAACACCTGTGCCGGACTCTGCTTTGTCAGATGCCTGGAATGTTAGCTTCAGTTGCCAGACAGAAGGTAGAAAATGTTATTTCTCTCCCCCCTCCCTCCTTCCGTCTGTACCAAGGATAAGGGTTTGTGTTTCTGCCACCAGCTATTTGCTCATATTTAAGCTGCCATAGGTCTCTGCAGTGGTGTGTTTGCTGGGACAAATTAACCTCGCTCCTTGTCTGATACTTAACCCAGCATCTCCATAATCCTGGTTGTGTGTGACATTAATTGATGCAGCTCAGTCCCGTCTCATCTCCTTGTGGGGTAGGTCTTTCCTCACTTGTGTTTCTCTGTTCCATTCAGATTAGCAAAGAGGAGACTAATTTGTTTAAATCAGGATGAAGAAAAGGAGGTCTGGAGTGATGAGGATGAACTTTTTGGTAAGCAGCAAATGTTTGAATCTGTCTGCTTGGTTTTGGGTGCTCGGCATGATCAAGGGTTCTTTGCCGCAAAGCTGCTATTGCAGAAATATAGCGAAGCTACTCTCAAAATAGCAAAGCTGCCAAGCAGCTGAAGCTCTCCTCTGTGAGTGTCTGAATGTCAGGCCAGGAGCTTTGAGTTCCCATTGTCTGCTCCATAGAATTGAGAAGTTAATTGGAGCCTGGTGAAGCAGCTAGTATCCTGTACACAGTAAGGATTTGGGGGCACAGCTCTTGGATCAGAAAAGTAAAATATTTGGACTGCCTACTCGCAAGTGCACAGCAGCAGCACTGGCTTCTTGCTCTGCATGATGCTCAATTGTAGCTCCATACACTCTTCTAATTAAAGCACCTGTGCAGTTTTGATGGCTTCTCACATTGCATTACCCAGTGACATCACAATGATATGGGGAAAAACATTGCCAGCATGGCAAGCAAAGAGAACTGTTAACTGCGGTCCTTCAGGAGGCTTGCTTAGGCAATGCCCAGACTAGCTAAAGGCAAAACTCTCAAAACCTGGTAAACATCTTGCAAAACAAAGTGATCCATTTTGTGAACTGTGCTAGAATGAGATGGCAACTGTGAGTGAACATGGATGACTGTTTGCCACATAGTTTAGGGTTGCCAGATCTTGAAGAGCAAAAAAGAGGACAGCCTGAGCCAGGGAAGGAAGTGCACCCACATTCTTCTTTTCCCAGCTTGGGCTGGCGGCAGCAGTGGTGTGTAGAGTTGGCCAAGCAATAAATGAATAAATAACCCCTCCCTACAACCCCAGACATGTCCTTTAAAATGTAAAAATCCCCCTGGATTGGGCCTTTTGGCCCCCCAAAAGAGGACATGTCTGGGATCCCCTGGATTTATGGCAACCCTAACATAGTTCCATCAGTAGTTGACTCTACACATCATGCCAAGGGCTGGGTGAAATTTGACCACTACCCTGGATTTCTGATGAGGTGTAGTAGTGGTAAAACCTCCCAACTGCTGAGCCAGTAGCAATAACCAGCTTACCGAGTGGTTCCATCCATCCCATAAAGTTTGTAAATGAATTTGTGTTTCAGAATCGAAGGAAGAAGGCAGCAGCAGCATCAACACTTCCCTCTTTGGTTCGAAAAAGAAGGTAACCAAGCCTACACCCAGTCTGGAGCTGAGCACTCCAGTGGGGAGAAATGGGCCTGCCTTGACAAGACCCCTCTAAATGGAGGCCAGTTGATGAGGACCCCCTCTCCCAAATGAAAGAACTGATGAAATCCCCATTAATGGGAACATAGGAAGCTGCCTTATGCTGAATCCTGGTCCATCTAGCTCAGTATTGTCTGTGCTACAGGGTTTCAGTCCAGGTGTCTCTTTCGCGGCTCTACCTGGAGATGTCACAGGTTTGAAGCTGGGATCTTCTGCATGTTCAACCACTGGACTAAGGGGCCTCTCCTAATTAATTAAATAATCAAGGGTCTTGGATACCCAGGTGTTTCAAAGAAGCCTGGGCAATCTCAGCACATTATATCTGCTATCTTTGATGGCCTCTTCAACCACACTGTAAGGTGGCTGAATTTTATTTTTATTACCCACATATTGCAGAAGGAGGACTAAGTGTTCCACCAAGTTGGGTTTAATGGCTTGAAATATGGGCTGGATATTTGCCTGCTGTGAGTTACTCAGCTACATCCCATGTCAGTGGCAATCCTCTGTTAGCAACAGCCATGGAACCATCTCCAGAGGGTGGGGTAACTGTTGTTCTGTCATGGGGACAAGGGGCAAGTCTTGCAGCACTTGATGGTTGCTCATGAGAGCCTATGCCCTCTTCTTTCTAGATCTGGACTTCAGAAGAGTCTCAGTGGATTAAGGAAGGCGTGAAGAAGTTTGGGGAAGGGAGGTGGAAAGCCATTTCCCAGGCATTCCCCTTTAAGAACCGCACTCCTGTGGCGATCAAGGACCGATGGCGGACGATGAAGAATCTGGGGCTCTTGTGAACCTGGGGGCGAGTGCCTGAGCTCCAACGCTATGTGGACACAGGGTGGGCCAGAGGTACTTTTGTAGTGTATTGCATTGGGCCAGCAGGCTGATGGCCACAATCTCTTATCATCACTGGAGGCTTCTCCCTCTGCTTTCTGACATAGGCTCTCCCCCTCCCTCCATTTTTTATTTTTTCTTTCTTTTAGTTTTCAGTACTGAAAATACAGATTCAACCTTGTGTAAACAATTGGTATGGAAAGTGCGCGTTTTACAGTATAAAAAATACGTCATTTCAATTTTTTATTTTCTTATAAATGTTATTTTTCACTGTAGGTCTGCTGTGATATTAATAAACTGTTATTATGCCATAATCATCTGGAGTACAAATGCTATAAATAAGGTTAAAGTAAAAAGACGTAGAATAAGATATATTCTATTCAGAAACAGGATGACATCATCTTATAGTCTCACAATAGGCAAACATTCATATTTACTTGTGGAATCAAGTTACTTCAATTAGTATTAATAACATACTATATAAAATCCCACCACACTGCACCAAAATCCATAGGTTATGCCTCAACTTGAATTAATTGAAAACTAAATGTAATTTTTGCTGAAATTGCAGTGTTGTACATGTTTTTATGCCACAAAATATTTCCAGTGTTGGACAATAGACCACCATGCTACAGTTGGTAAAGTGATGAGTTCTTTAGATAGTCCTTTTTTATTTGTACCTTGGAACATTGTTAAATAAAAAGCTATGGAGTGAATTCAGTTGTTTTCTTTATTAGTGCTGTTAGTTCTATGTGAACCAGGGACCAAACAACTTGTATTCAAAAACAAGTCCACCATAAATGTATATTTGTCCCCTTAGTGTCACATCTACGCCAACATAAGGGGCTTATAGTTGATGTGATGTTGGGATGGAGTCCTATACCATCTGTGGAAGATTTTGAGTGAAAGTTCTTTAATATTTGCAGACACCGACTTAAAGGGTTTCTTCATGCATATGCCTTTCCAAATTGAGTCTTCCATTGTTACTTTTACATCATATTCCCATATTGATTTTAGGCTAGACAAGTCCCCAAATTAGTCCTGTTTTAAGTAACCATAAAATTTTGATACTATTTCCTTACCTCCATTACCTAGTGGCACCTTGGATCATTCAAAATTAGTTGCATGTAATTTAACTATCAGATCCTTTAGTAAATGTTTAATTTGTAGAATTTGAAGCCTCTTTAAAGTTAATTCCCATTTTTGGTACATTTAAAGTTACTGGTCTTACTCCTGTAAAAAAAATCAGTGTCTGAAATAACCCAATTTTACCCTTTTCTTTATTTTAGCTTTTAAAGTATCATCTTTCAGACTGGCATATGTCTGCAGAGAAGTGAGTGGTGAACAACCTGGGGAGAGTCAACTTCCATTTTTTCCATATCCTCAATTTAGTTTGTAAATATGGGTTATTCATTTGAGCGATAATTTTAAGGTTTTTGAAAGATAACGCACATAGCAGACCTAGGGCTATTTGTTTTTCTTCCAAATTGATCCATTTCTTACCATCCTTCATAATCATAAAAGTCTGCTGTCTCAATTGGAACGCATCATGGTATACCGAGAGGTTTGGTAAACCCCAACAACTTTGATTTAAAAAAGAAAAGAAAATAAGATTTCATGGGCAACCTTGAAGACTTATCTTGAAATATGAAACAATTTTAGTTTGCCATTTGGACGTTGGAGAAAAGTAAGGAGGACCTGAAAGAGAGACAGAAAACGGGGAATTAACATGATATGTACTGCTGCAATAGAGCCTAAAATGGAAAGGTTAAATTTGTTCCATTTTTTAAAGTCCATGTTCATTTTTAAAATAATGGGATAATTCAGTTTAGATTCATGGTTCATGTTTTTTAGAATTGGCACACCCAAGTCTCAGATGCAGAGCAGCACATAGGTGTATTAAGAATATGACAAGTATGTATTTGAATCAGTGGTGGAAGACTGAAAAACATCATTGATTTTCCAATGTTTACTTTTAAGCCTGCCACTTTAGAAAAAGATGTTAATTCTTCCTTTAATGCACAGGCTGACCCCTTAGGGCCTTTCAAGATCACAACAATATCATCTATGTACATTGTCAACAGATGCTCTTCGCCCTCTCTTGAATATCCTTTTACATTTGGATTAAGACGTAAGATATTAGCGAATGGTTCAAAAGAGAAGGCGAGGAGCAGTGGTGACAAGGGACAAGCTTGTTTTGTCCCCCTCCAGATTGCTATTGCTGAGGAGTCCATGTTATTCTTAGAGTAGCTGAATTATTTGAATAGAGTTTAGCTACTGCTGTAATAAGGTGATTGCCTAGCTGGCACGTCTGCAAAATGTTAAGAGATAACACCATTCCAGACCATCAAAGGCTTTGTAAATATCTAAGGAACATAAATCCAGGAAGAAAATCCAGGTCCTGATTCAATAAGGTAATTGGCCTGTATGAGCACACCTATGCTTTTAACTCTGCCTGGCTTTAAAAGGACAGTTATTCTGGATCAGTGCCTATGTATCAGCGCCTGATTGCTCTTGCCAGATGGATAAAGTTGACAAAAATAAAGTGTGAGTTGGTCTCTGTATTTCTAAAAAAATGTGTTGCCAAGCCCATAGGGTCAAGGACTCTTATACAGTATTTTGGTTTTTTTAATAGCTTGATCAATTTCTTCTGCAGAATGTTATCTTTTGTTGTGCTTTCTTTATTAAAGGTTTGATACCACATCTTCTCACTTAATTTTTTTCAGGTAAAGGGTTATTTGGGTTATATAGCTCTTTATAAAACTCCATAAACATATTGCTAATCTGATTTTAGTCATATTTAAAGTAATTATTTAAATAAATTGCTTACCTTTGAGAGCACTGGCTAGCATTTGGAATGTTTATTACCATGTTCATATAATTTTTGACTCACAAAGAGCATGGATTTGCCTGTTCTCTCCATATATAACATTTCCAATTCTGATCTTTTCTGTTCCAATTTTCTAAGGATTTCATTAGAACCTGTTTCAAAGTGCATCCCCCCCCAACTTCTGTGTTTCATGTTCCTTTAACAGGCGCTGCTTCCCATGATAGTTACGTAAAAGGAATCTCCACCATGCTATTTAGTTTGGCACTAGCATTCCATGTGTTCTGAGGCAGGACAAAGGTGCTGCCCATTGGGGCAGACTGTTCCCGTCACCACTGTTTTTCCTGTTCCTTTTTTTAGCTGGTGGTACTGCTTGAACTTCAAATGTGTTGGAGGACATGCTGGCTTATGTGAGTCCAAGAAGCGGTTGATTGTGTAGCGTGGATGGAGCCAGACACCACATGCAAAATGGGCTGTGGCTGTGCTCTCCCTCTGCCTCACTACCAAAACTACACAGATCTTGAAAGTGGTTAGCTTTTTTTCCATGAGCAGATTTTATCCCAGAGGTGCCCCCCTCTCTTATCTCAGCTGCTGGGAAAACTTCCTCCTGTGATACACACTTTGTCCTTCAAGCACCAGCTGCTACAAGAAAGCAGAGTTTGTGCTTTGGGAGAACTTTTGAGTAACAAGGAGACAAGAAGGATTTGCGCTGAAGTGGGTGGAATGGAATGCAGCCATACTCTGGGCAAAGAAAAGGGCAAACTAGTTAGGGCAGTTCTTCCCAACAAAGGGCTTTAGTAGGAAAGAGATACTATTTAAATCAAACTGCAGTCTTGGGACTTAAAATGCAGTATGTGTGAGTTGCAGTAATGAAAGTGTGACCTGCTTACCCTCTAGTATAGCAGATTTGATCGCTCTGTGCTTTTTGCTGTTGGGTAACCTGCCTTCATCTAAGACAGAATAGATATGACCATTTCCTGTTGCCTTTTAGCATAAAAGCATCAGAAGAACCCTGCAGCAGCTGAATAATCTGGTCAAATAGGGGCCCATCTAGTCCAGCACCTGGTTTTCAAAGCGGCCAGCCAAATGCCCCAACAGGAAACCTGCAGCAAAGAGTACCAGTGTGGTGGTTGAATTAGCCAGAATGTCAGGCTATGAGGAACTGGTTCCAGCCAGGTTCAAAGCATTGAGCAGGAAAACTCCCTGGGTCAGCCTGGTCACAGGGTGGTGGTTATGAAAAAGGTTGTGCTGGAGGAACCAGGTATGCCACCTGGAGATCTTAGGAGGAAAGGTGAGGAATCAATGTTCTGTCTGCCCCTCGGCTGCTTCACCTGTACAGGGCCTAGTGCTCTGCTGCTCAACTGCTGCAAGAGGCTTGTGCTTGAAGGAACACTTTACCACTGCCTCCCCTCGCCTCTAGATCTCTTGGACTACAGGTTACATCAGCACAACCATCTGAGACTAGGCCTGATAGGAATTGCAGTCCAAGAAGTCTGGCAAGCAGCAGGTAGGGGGAGGAACTGCTTTCCACTGAGCTCACTCCGCGTGTCCTTAAGGCATTGACTGCTTCCTTGAGGAATGAAGAGTTGATTCAGCAGCAAGCTGCACAAACACAGGGCATGAGGGTGGAGTTAATGATTACCAGCTGCCAGCATGCTGGACTCCAGCTCTGGCACTTGCCTCCAGCCAAGCTCAGCTACCTTCCCTGTGGCAAGATGCTTGCAGCGTTACCTGTGGCTGCAATGGTGGGCTTGTTGGTGGGGGGGCTGGAACTTGCCCAAGCCCGCAAGTCTGAACCTCTGAGTGGTTCCAGCGACCAGCCTCTTTTCCGTGGGGCGGACCAGTACAACTTTGGCATTGTCATCCCTGCAGGCAGCATAGAGTGCTTCTGGCAATTTGCCCATCAGAGCGGCTTTTTCTACTTTAGCTATCAGGTGGGTGCCGGTGGAGGGGGTGCTGCACAAAATCTAAGGGTTGTGGTCAAGGGGGGACAGTAATAAGCAGCCAGATTCTCTACTAGCAGCAGAACCAGGGAAAGGGGTTTGGCTTGGGGAATAGCATCTGCTTGGCATATAGGTCTCAGCTTTCACCCCTGATATTTTGAGGGAGGGCTGAAAAAATTTCCCTGGCTAAAGCCCTGGAGAGCCACTGTCCGTCAAACTGAGAGAATAACAAACTAGTTTGGACCTATGATCCAATTTAGCATAAGGCAAGTTGCTATGTTTGTAACCAGCATCCCCAGAACGCAAACTGGGAATCTTGCATTATTTTATTGGTTGTCATGAACCCCTAAAGTATCAATAGTCAAGCCAGATTCTTTCATTGCACCTTAAAGAACTTGCTCAGGTTTAACTATCTTGCCCAGTTGAGAATACCCAGCCCTAGCCTGCATGATGGAAGGGCTGAGGGGCATTGTAATCCAAAACATATGGAAAGTACAAGGGTTACATGGACGGGGAAGGCTGGTGGCATTGCTGAGTGTGCTTTTTAGATTTTAGATTTTCCAGAAGTGACATTTATCCATAAAGATGATTTAGTGACTTCCTGAAAGGAACCTTCTCTCACTCTTGGGTTTGCCAATGCTGAGGTCTCTGCCAAAGACCTTCCTTTAGGTGCCAACTATAAAACTGGAGCCTTCCTGCTTCTTAAACTCTTTACAGTGGTACCTCGGGTTACAAACGCTTCAGGTTACAGACTCCACTAACCCAGAAGTAGTACCTCAGGTTAAGAACTTTACTTCAGGATGAGAACAGAAATTGTGCAACGACAGCAGGAGGCCGCATTACTAAAGTGGTGCTTCAGGTTAAGAACAGTTTCAGGTTGAGAACGGATGTTCGGAACAAATTAAGTTCTTAACCCGAGGTACCACTGTACTTCTAAACTGCCTTGACAATCCAGCCTCAATGGCAGTCTCCTGTCATGGCACTTGGCCTCAAGCCAGAAACTTTCAGCTCCACTTTCCTCTTGGTAAACTGGATTGCTCTGAAGGTGAACAAGACCATGACCATGATGTAAATCCAGACATGAGGCAGGAGCTGGAGGCAGGAGGGTGATTCAGCTGGCACCGTGACTGGTTGATTCTGGAAGGAAGAATATTCTTGTTTCTTAGCAAGGGTCTAGAACAAAAATGTGGGGTTATTGCATGGGCCAGTTTCAAGGAAACAGCTCAGCTTCCTCCAGACACAGTTCATGGGGAGGCATCCGACCCTGAAAGTGGAAGGGTAAGGCACTCGCATATATTTGCCACCCACCAAGTCAGGGATTAAGAGCTACCAGCAAGAAGTGGGTTGGCTGGTGGTGGCAGGTCAACTTGCTAGTAGCCCACTCCTACACTAAGTGCACTGGAAACTTTGTAGACAACTGCAATTCCTGTCTCATCATCTGCCTGCAGAGGTTTGTGGAGAAGACACATATTCAGCATGTAACCTGTTGCTTTGAAAGTCCAATGACTAAACTGTTTTGTCTGACTCTCTTGTGCATACTCTCTCATGAAATTGCTGCTTTTGCGAGAACTCTCCTTGCCGTGTGTGTGTGTGCCAGCAGCATAACTGATAGGTACATCATGCCTTCCAATATGGAAATGGCAGCTCCATTTGCCTTCTGTAGCTGAATACTTGCACAGATCAGCTCTTGCATCTAAGAAACCAAAAACAAGAAAGTGGCAGGGAACATGGTTACAGCATTACCAATGCCATCCCATTTCTTGTCCTGTCCTGTCCTATCCCTATCCTATCTTGGTTTCAGGTGCAGTGGTCTTCAGGTCTTGGACATGACCAACACATCCTGGCAACTGCAAATGACCCCAATGGGCTCCACCTTGGCACCTCCCAGGATACACGGGGGCAGATCAACTTCCAAACCAAGGAAACAGGTGCCTCCCTCTCTGTACACACAGCCCTATCAAGAGTGCTTTCTAGACTCCCAGAACTGGCTCAGGTGCAGCCTCCAAGCAAAATAGGTGATCCTGAACATGCAGTGAGCACGTCCCCCATGGCGGACTCTCCTCCCATAAAGCCACCTTGAACTGGGTGCTCAAAGGCTGGGTTCTGAAATAGAAAACCTCTGTTTAGTTATAACCTCACAGGAGGAAAAACCTCTGGGCCCATGGCTCAGCAGGAGAGCATCAGATTCAATTCCAACTATGTCTAGGCAAGACTGGGAAAGTCTGAAATCTTGGGAGAGCCATTGCCTGCCAGTTTAGACAATACTGAGCTAGGTGATCCAATGGTCTGATTTGGTGTAAGGCAGCTTCTTATATTCTATGAGACACACCTACCACCTTCCCCAAAGATATGAGGCTAGTAAGTATGAATGATGTTCAGAAAGCACTCTAGGAATGACAGGCTCTTTCTCTCTCTGGACCACTTCATATTCCCCCAAAAGGAAGTTGAAAGCAGATTGGTTAGGTGGGCACAAGCATAATATCCCTTGCTGCCTGCCACCCCATCTTACTCCTCCATTTATGTTTTCTTTTTAGAGGGATGGACAACAACCAGGAAATCCCAGAAAAACTTTGACTCTAATCGGATTATTGCAAACGAGGGCCAAGCAAGCTATCTTTAAATGACACAGCTACCCCTTTTAAAATGTAGGCTATCTTCTCAAGAAAGGGGCACATTCAGTCTCTCTCTTACAGACCTGAATTCAAATTGCGTTGCTCACACCAGAAGGCCTTAAATGCTGCTAGTTCACCTGGCACAAGTTTAACTCTTTCTTGCAGGCTTCTATCAGCTCTGTCTGAGCAATCGGTACAACCATTTTGGCTCGGTGCAGGTCTACCTCAACTTTGGGGTCTTCTATGAGGGCTTTGATCTACAAACTCCACAAGAAGCTGAGAGGAAAAGACTTAACGACACACTGGATGCAATTGAGGTAACTTATTAAAGAACTAAAATTAAAACTTATTAAAGAACTAAAAATAAATAAGGTAGCAGTGATAAAGCTGGGAGCTATTTGGAACCTCCAGGGCTGGGGGGAAATGGGACAGATATGATCTCCTTCATGCTTGATGCAGCCTGGATATTTTATTTTATTTTTTAACCACCTGAGTCTGACAGGGAGAAGGACAGGCATCCTTTCCTTTCAGGCTGTGAAGGAAAAAGGTCCCCATGGTTGGCCAGACAGCCGGTTGCCAGGAGCAGCAATCTGTAGCCTAAGTGAAGTATCTGTTCAAAGCCACACCAGGGCCAAGGACAGACATCTGGGACTGAAGAGCTTTCCCTGCTCCACTCTTTTGTTAACAGGAGAGCACCAAAAAACTGCTGAACGGCATCTTCCAAATGTGGCGCTACTACACTTTTAGTCGGATGAAGAGCACCTCAGACTACTTCCTTCTGGAGTCCAATTACAACTACGTGAACTGGTGGTCAGCGGCCCAGAGCCTGGCCATTGTTCTCTCTGGTGTCCTGCAACTCTACTTCCTCAAGCGCCTCTTCACCACACAGCCCACCACAGCCACCAACAAGCCACGGTGCTGAGGCTGCTTCAGAAGGCTATTTATGCCAGGCTGAAAAGCTAAACTGCTCTCTCCTTGCCACCCTCTTAACACCCAACTGACTAAATACCTGCAAGCCGCAAAGGAGAGCAAGGGCATGTCCACCTGCTGGTGCGGCTTCTTTTTTGGAGGGGTGTTGGCTGAAAAATCCAAGTATTCTTCCAGAGGAGCCACAGGGGGGTGGTTGACTTGAAATGAAACTGCCCCAAGTTAAAATAAACATGACTCAAAATGCAGGAGTCCTGCTGCAACCACAGCATAGGTATGTGAGGTTTTTACATTGAGCAAGAGGTACATTAAGGGCATAGTCAGTAAATGGGGGGTGCGCATGCAGACACAGACGATCTCCACCACCACCAAACACAAGATTCCTTCCTCTTCCTTTAAAGGCAGCCAGCTTGGAAGCAAAGGCAGCTGCAGAAGGGAAGGTGGGAGGAAAAGAGAACTTCTAGCTTTTGGTTCTCTGTGGCTTTGTGAAACGGCTCTGGTTCCTCAGCCCCAAAGCCCAGGGCAAAATAAAAGAGGCTGTAATGCAATCAGTTCCCTGAACACCAGATGAATCAAGACAATGAAAGGAGAAAAATGAAATAGCTTTACTGTGTCAGAATTGTAGCTGTGTCCCTAGAACTGCCAGGCCTGCAGCTACATCCCAAAGTTTTGTGACTCATACACAGTTGCGCCTTCCACAGTCTGCATGAAAAGGGGCACAGGCTGGTTGAAAGCCAGCAGCTTCTATCTGAGGAGGGTGGGAAAGTCAGTCTTTGGGGCTTTCTGCCCTGCCATTTATGTCAGCGTCTCTTCATGCCGTATGTATTCTCCAATATCCGCTTGGTGAAAAACCACGATCGCCATGGGGTCCACTTTCCGGCACTCCTGGGTGGACTTGGCTGCCACTCCAAAGCCCTAAGAAGGTCGAATGGAACAAGGAAGGAATTAAGACCTTGGGGGGGCATTGTCTTAACTTCAAATTCACTCAGGTCCAACCATCCCACCCACCCACTAGGTGTTACTCACCAGGGGGACGTCAGCCATGGAATATACTACCACACCCTGGTACTGGGCAGTGCTCTCTGTGATGCGCCCCAAGCCAGACTTCAGTATGTGGTTCCCATAAAGGAAGGACTGCTCTGCCCCAGGCTTCACCCACACTTTGTACTGCATGAGAAAAAAATGAGAGATGTCCTCTTTGAGTTAGATTAAATGTACCACTACACGGGTTCCCTTTCTGTGTCCTCCTTAGATTAGCACAATCGAAAACAATACCCTCCTTCCCAAGAAACAGCTAGCAGGTCCCCACCCCACACAGCACTACAGGTGGTTTGACATTTTTGGTAGGCTAGGTAAAGATAAAGGGACCCCTGACCGTTAGGTCCAGTCGCGGACTACTCTGGGGTTGCGGCGCTCATCTCGCTTTATTGGCGGAGGGAGCCGGCGTACAGCTTCCGGGTCATGTGGTCAACATGACTAAGCCGCTTCTGACGAAACCAGAGCAGCGCACAGAAACACTGTTTACCTTCCTGCCAGAGCAGAACCTATTTTGGTACGATAGGTAAAGGTAAAGGTACCCCTGCCCGTCCGGTCCAGTCTTGCCAGACTCTAGGGTTGTGCGCTCATCTCACTCTATAGGCCGGGAGCCAGCGCTGTCCACAGACACTTCCGGGTCACGTGGCCAGCGTGACAAGCTGCATCTGGCGAGCCAGCGCAGCACACGGAACGCCGTTTACCTTCCTGCTGGTAAGCGGTCCCTATTTATCTACTTGCACCCAGGGGTGCTTTTGAACTGCTAGGTTGGCAGGCGCTGGGACCGAACGACGGGAGCGCACCCCGCCGCGGGGATTCGAACCGCCGACCATGCAATTGGCAAGTCCTAGGCACTGAGGTTTTACCCACAGTGCCACCCGCGTCCCCTATTTTGGTACGATAGTGCCCCTCAAATCAGTGTTCCTCTGTGCCATCTTTACCTTGGCGTAGGGAGCAAGGTAATCGAGGGCAGTGATGTGGAGTCGGAACTTCTGGCTCTTGGTGAACTTTCCAAAGCAGGTGCCAAGAGATACCAGATTCTCCCGGGGGATGTTTGTAGCAAGCTTCAGAATCCTCTCACTAAGAAACAGAAAGCAAAGACTTATCATTGGGACTCGGTCTCTCCAGATTCAGAAGCTCCGAAGTCACCATCAGAGCATCACTGAACCATGCTGTGGCCTGAGGCACACTTCAAGTACCTGCAGCCAATATTGTGGCTTTTTGGTCATATGCTTCCATAGGGAAGAGGAGAAGCTTTAAGATACCTAAACCAAATTGGGGATACTGAGATGATGGAAAGGCAGGTTTGGGGATTTAATCCAAGCAACCCTAAAACAAGAAAGACCTTATAGCCACTCCTGGTCCCCAAATACAATGTGGTGCACTTGCACTGGAAGTGATAAAATGTGCCAAAAACTGGATCAGACAAGACGGGAGCTCAGAGTTAAATTATGAGACAAAGTCCCTCCTCTCTGTCCTTCATTTGCATATGAAAGACTCCATGAGTACAGCTTCCCTTAGTTCAGTTCTGCTCCTTTTACATCTTTTGCTCTTCTGCTGCTAAAAACACAAGGGAAGCAAGATCTCTTTCCCAGCACCTTGCAGCTCTGTAGTGAGAACAAGCAGCATCTTACAAAAGAAAACAGGCCCTTTCCTTTCCCCCATAGATGCCTCTACTCTTCTCCCCACCCACAAAGACGTGGGTACATTCTGGAAGAGGAAGAGAGCCTTACATATGTTCAAAGATCCATCCTTTTATTTTTACTTAATGTGTGTTATGGATGAAGGTGTTAACATTAATAACATGCCCCAGGGTGAATGTAGGGCCTCCTCACCTGAGGTAATAGACACGGTCCTTGTGCAGGCGGAAGCAGTAGGCACCATCTGGCCGGTCAACCAGGAGCTGGATGTTCTCACCAATACTTAAAAAGGTTGGAACAAAGAGACACACTGTCAGCCAGTCCCCAGAAAACATGAGAACTGCCCTCTTATGCTAGATTTGACCAAATGTCCAATTAGTTCAGCCTCCTCCTCCTGGCAAAATCAAGTCAAATGCCTGCAGGGAGCCAGCAAGCAGGGGTGGAGAACAGCAGCCATTTCTAAGACATACTGCCCCTGTATATGAAGACTTCAATTTTAAACTATTATACTGACTTCCCTATAATCCCTGTAATCATTTTTCTGCATTAAACACGACCCATCTAGTTCTCCTGCTGTTGTCTCCCAGCTAGTGGTATTCCGTGGAAGATTAAGAAGAGCTATTCCACACTGGTACAGTCTGTATGGGAAGATGGGTGCCCCCTTCCTCGCAACAGAGCATGGGTTGCTGCCTGCCTATAATGTTGTGATTCTCTACATCCATTGGGGTGGGCTAGAGGACCTTTGTGGTATCTTCCACCGCTATGGTTCAATGACGCTTCCATTTTACTTTCTGGGCCAACAGCAAGAGACAGACTTCCCCTCCTTCACTGATTTCTCTAATTCCCTCTGTCCATTGGGTGGGGATCCGGGTATCTTGTGTCAGTGAGTTCCATGGGTTAATCATAAAGCCTAATGAACCCAGGCTCACTGGAAGGACAGATCGTGAAGCTGAGGCTCCAGTACTTTGGCCACCTCATGAGAAGAGAAGACTCCCTGGAGAAGACACTGATGCTGGGAAAGATGGAGGGCACAAGGAGAAGGGGGCGACAGAGGACGAGATGGTTGGATAGTGTTTTCGAGGTTACCAGCATGAGTTTGACCAAACTGCGGGAGGTAGTGGAGGACAGAGGTGCCTGGCGGTCCATGGGGTCACGAAGAGTCGGACACGACTAAACGACTAAACAACAACAAAATGAACCCAGAGAACACAAATGCCACCACAGCCACCCCGCTTACTATTTGGAGAGCTTCTCGAAGAGCGCACGCGTTTCTTCCTCCGTGAGGGGCCGCATCGCACCTTCCGAGACAGACGCCGGAGACCCGCGTGGTTCCAATTCAAGGAAGCCTCGGATCAAAGACGTGAAGCGGAAGTTGCACCTTCAAACTACGTTCGGGTGTCCTACACTCATAGGCTCTTCCCTTTCTAGGCACAGAAATATGTCTATGGTCACAATAGAGTGCAAGTGATCTTCATGTCGGAGCGTCGTTGCGTGACCTCCTGGTTACGTCATACGAACACAGAGGTTTCGGGCAGAGCGGCACCCGGATCTGCCACGGAGGACTAGCCTCTGCCTCTGCCTAGCGCGGCCTCCCGGTTGCCATAGCGATCACTTCCTGGTCCACGTCGAGGGAGGCCCGATGGCGGCCCAGGAGCCTTCGGCGGACCTAGAGGAAGCGAGCCTGCTGGCATGGCTTTTCCGCGGGGCGACCTCGCCACTGCCTCCGCCCCTGGCGGCGGGGGACGCGGAGCTGGCGACCTACCTGTCGGCGCTGGCTGGGCTGGGCCTGGAGGCCTTGCGGAGGGAACCCGGCCGATTGGCGGAGGAACGAGCGCAGCTCGGGGCGCAGACGCGGGCCTTGGCCTTTGCCCACTACAAGACCTTCATCCGCTCCGCCGAATGCACCGCTGAGACGCGTCGCGGCTTCGGTGGCATCGAGCAGGGCCTCGACCGCCTCTTGGGCCGCCTCCCACCCTTCGCCGAGGCCTGCCGGTGAGCAGGAGGAGTTGGAGGCCAAGGCTGCCGCCACACTCCTTTTGGGGGCAGGAATAATCCTGGGGTGCCCCACCGTTAACTTATGGAACTCACTGCCATTGGAATGGGTGGGTTAGAGGGGGCTGGCTGGCTTCCCGTTTTGCTTTTCCTGGCTTAACTTGCTTTCTTCTTCTTTTCCTCCTGCCTCCAGGAACTTCATGCAGGAGGCTGAACAGATCGCCCAGAACCGACGTATGAACAGCCTAACCCTGAACCTCCACACAGAGATCCTGGAAGTGCTGGAGATCCCCCAGCTGATGGACACCTGCGTTCGCAACAGTTACTACGAGGAGGCCCTGGAGCTGGTGTCCTACGTCCGCCGCCTTGAGAAGAAACACGCCACCATCCCTGTCATCCAGGTGCAGACATGTTCTGAGCCTGGCAGGTGCCAGAGCTGCCTTAAGCCATACGATGATAGTAGGTCCCAGCCATTTGCTACTAGAGTTTCAGGACCTGAGCAAAAGCTTAGTGAAGAAAGGCATCTCCAACCCTTTGCATTTGTTTTCTCTGCCTTGGCTCACAGAGGCAGAGGTGGGGTGGCTTCTGTGCTGGTTTCCTAAGTTTGATCCAGGTTGTTTGACTGCCTAAGGGTACCTGAGGCCCACAATCCTGGACCATCATGAGCTGTCATGTTCTGTTTGTAGAAGCCAGAGTATTTCTGGATTTGAGGCTTCTTCTCTTGTTGCTTTTTTTCTTGACTAAGTGCTTATGTTGCTTATTGCAGCCAGGGTTTGTGCATGTGCTGTAGTGGTCTATTTCTTTGACTTTCAACAAGAGCAGGATACAAGCCACTGATCTCTTAAGTGCAATCTGTAAAGCAGGGATAGATAGAAGATAGACCACACCCCATCACTGACTAATGACTCTTGGCTAATGTCTAATTTGCTAGTTGCAGGGATTCTTGTACAGAAAGCTGAGATGAGGCAGGCCCTGTTCTGATCCAGTAAAGCCCTTCTTCTATCTGCAAAGAAGAATGCATTCTTAAGGTCACAACACTTTATTCATTTACCACGTTTATATCCCACTCTTCCTCCCAAAGGAACTCAAAAAGTTCCCAAAAGTACACATCATTATAACATGCAGTTACCTCATACCAGGTTTGACTGTGCACTAAGCCCAATATTGTCTACTTTGATAGCCAGAGTATAGTATATCAAGCAGGTATATCTACCAGTGACCTGTAGACCCTTTCTTAAGTGATCACATGGACTCTAGTGAAAATAAAATAGTTTGTGCAGTATTGAGATCTGCTTGGTTTGGGTACCATGGGTAACAGTTTATTTTGTCTCTCTTCTCCTTCCTAGGGCATAGTGGCAGAGGTGCGCCAGTCCACACAGCTCATGCTTACGCAGCTGATCCAGCAGCTTCGCACCAACATTCAGCTGCCAGCCTGCTTGCGCATCATTGGCTACCTTCGCTGCATGGATGTCTTCACTGAGGCTGAGCTACGAATTACTTTCCTGCAGGCACGGGACATCTGGCTACGTTCTATCCTTGCTGCTGTTCCTGGTGACGACCCCTATGTGCATATTACCAAGACCATTGAGGCCTGCCGCGTGCACCTCTTTGACATTGTCACGCAGTACCGTGCCATTTTTGCTGACGAGGAGCCGCTGGTGCCTCCCCCTGGGCAGGACACCCTCAATGAAAGTGCTATCTTCCATGGGTGGGTCCTGCAGAAGGTCTCCCAGTTCCTGCTGGTGCTTGAGCGTGACTTGCAGCGCGGTGTGGGCAGCCGCCTGGACTCCCTGTTGGGCCAGTGCATGTACTTTGGCCTCTCGTTCAGCCGTGTTGGAGCGGACTTCCGGGGCCTGCTCATCCCCATATTTCAGCGGGTGGCACTGGTCACCTTCAAGAGAGCCATGCAGGAAGCTGTGAACAAATTCCAGGAGGAGATGAACTCCTACACGCTAATCTCTGTGCCGACTGCCTTGGGCAGCAGCAGCAGCACCATCCCTGTAGCAGTGGCTCCTTCTGCCCAGCCAGGCACCCTCCAGCCCCCCATGGTGCTGCTAGATTTCCCACCACTCGCCTGCTTCCTCAACAACATCCTGGTAGCCTTCAACGACCTGCGCCTCTGCTGCCCTGTGGCTCTTGCCCCAGACGTGGCGGCTACCCTGGAGGATGCACTTGGCCAGGTGGGGGCTCTCTGTTGCTCATGTGCACCAAGAGGCTGGATTAAAAATGCTCCAGATGTCTAGGTGACAGGACAGAAATTTGCTAGCAGCAGAGTCTTAGCTACTTGCAGCCTTATCTTTAGTTATACTCCTTGGAGTTTCCTAGCCCTTTTCAGCAACTTGGCAGGTCATGTTTGTGAGTTTATGCTTGTTCCCTCTGATGTTGCTGCTGTCTGTCTTTTCAGGGATGGGCCTCTGGCTTATTTCAAGAAGCCCTTTGCAAGCAACCAGTTCAGGCATCTGACAACAGCAATCAGTGCTTGCTTTGGGTGGGCTGGAAGAGAGAGAGAGGAGAGAGAAAGTGGTTGACCTCGCCTGTTTTGGCTACTGAACCTGCTCACCACTAGCTCTAACCTCACCCATAGTCAGCAAATGGCCCCTGCTGGATTTCCTGCCAGGAGACTGTGGCACTTGAGAGATCAAAGTTTCTTAGTCCCTGTTCTATAAGGTAGTATGTGACATCTTGTCACTCAGCTTCTGGGTGTGTCCCTGACCGATTAGCTGGGCTTTTATTTTGACCATTTGATGAGGCTAGCATGCTGAGTAGTACTGCAGTCCCTTCCTTCCACTTGGGCACCAAACCAAGAAATTCTAGCTTCTCTTTTTCTCTTTGCAGGTGACAAAGGTCATTCTGGTTTTCCACCGGGCAGAGGCTGTGGCCTTCAGCAGCCGAGAACAAGAGCTGTTCATTCACTTCTGCATGGCATTTCTGGAAGACTTGGTACCCTACCTCAACCGTTGTCTGCAGCTCCTCTTCCCCCCAGCACAAATTGCACAGACTTTGGGTAAGGCTGCTTGAACTCTTTTGGTGGGAAAGGAGCTTGCAGCTGAGCCCTGGTCTGTGGTGGATGTATGGCTCCTGCTTGTGACTTTGTGAACAGCACATTGGTGGGGTGGGGTTGCTTGGTGGTGGTCCTTGTAGGCTTGCAAGTCATTGAAATCGGTGCTCAACAGCTCAGGCTACTGCCAGGGGAAGGGAGAGAGAGAGAATTGGCAGTAGTACAAGGAATGTTCTCTAGCTTAGGGTTGATGTAAGATTTTAATTTCTCATTTTAATATATTTTCTTTTTTTACTGCTAGGTGTTCCCCCAACACAGCTGCACAAATATGGCAGTCTTGGCTGTGTGGATGAGCAGCTGATTCAGGAGCTCCTGGCCTCAGTCCTGCCGGAGAAAGAGACTGTCTATTCCTTGTCTGAGGAGAAAAGGCTGACTGAAGAAAGCCTAGCACCTCCTCCCTTGGACTTGGAACTCCCTGATGCCAGGCAGGAAGCAGATCCCAGTGCCCCAGCCCCTGTTCTGGAAGCAGAAGAGAGCAGTGCAGCCTCTGGTGATGCCTTGCTGCTGAGTGCTCCTCTAGAATAGTTTTCACTGGATTTTGCCTGTTTTCTGGGGTTCCATGATACTTGAACCTGACTGAGGAGAGACTCATTCCTGCGATGGGCAGGCACAGCTCTTGGTTTTGGGTTCTACTTCAGCACTTCAAGGACAGACTGAGCTTTCATTGCTCTGGTGGGAAGGAAGTTGGGTGTGGACACTGGGAGGAAGGAATTTTGGTGAAGGTGGATCAGGGTTTGAATAAACTTGATTGCTTGTTTGGTTCTCTGTGTTGTACCTCAGTATGCTGTACTGTGAAGAGAGTGGGCCCCTGAATCTTCTCTCCCGAGGCTAGTTGCTTTAGGTATCAGTCAGTACCAGTTTTTTCTGGGCCTCCCCATTCACCAAAAATGCTCGTGTGTCAACCTTATCTTCCTCTCCTCTGGAATTGCCTGGTGCCTTAAGCTGCAGAATAAAATGTGTCTCTGCCAGTTTTCCCTTGATATCTCAGACTAAGTATGAATTTCTTCTTTGGTAAGTCCAACTTGCTGAGTGTAGGAATCCCACTGTTCTTACCAACTGCTTTGGGTTGTAGCTGGCCCTTCAGAAGAGGGTAATTACTTTAGTTGGTGCTACAGGAAGAGGAAACCTGCTAGCCAAGACCAAGATCATCTGCAGTTGAAGCCCAAGAAATGAGGTAATAATAATAATAATAATAATAATAATAATAATAATAATTTTTATTCATACACTGCCCATCTGGCTGGGTTTCCCCAGCCACTCTTGGCAGCTTATAGCATATATAAAACATAGTAAAACATCAAACATTAAAAACTTCCCAATACAGGGCTGCTTTCAGATGTCTTCTAAAAGTTCTGTAGTTCTTTTATCTCCTTGGCATTTGAAGGGAGGGCATTCCACAGGGAGGAGAAGAGTTTAGATCCTGGTTTGTCTGAGCTTTAGTAGATGAGAAATAAACAAATTTAAAACAACAGCTCCATCACCAGGGCAACTTAAAATGGCCCAGGACAGCAAGTGAGTGAGATTTTGAATGCTTCAAAATCCTCCCTTTTTTTTGGGGGGGGGGGATATTAAAGTGGACAGGAGGCAGGGAGAGAAGGGTGGACTGTGTCTAGGAGTCCTAAAAAGGTAGCAGATAAGTGTGAGGGAGTCTTAACTGGAGTAAGTCTCTGCATAGAAAAGGATAGAACAATTTTTGTCTAGAGAGGTTGGAAGGATTTCCCCCCCTAGCAGGTAGTTGAGGGGTGCATGTGTGAAAATGCAGCAAGTATTCAGGGCCCAAACTTGCTGGTGTTGACTTTAGCAGCAGGGCTGAGGTAAAGCAGATGAGCCTGAGGCAGCTGCATATCTACCAATGATATGATGGGGAAAACCTGTCACTTCAAGAGGGATCTTATTCTCCCCTTTGCTACACAACCGCTTCCTCTTATGGAAGAAGCTGACCTAAAGCGTCTGCAAGTACGCCGCCTGCCACGGAGTGGTGCCGTTCTTTGTTTTGAGAACTACATTTCCCAGCATCCACGGGCACTTCCGGTTTCCTAGCTTCGCGTGGCTTGTCAAGACAGGAAGTTGGGCGGCTCCATTGAAACTTGAGACTTGGAGTCAGGTAGGACTGAGGTCCTGGTTGCGGGGGGGGACCCACATTTTGAAACCCTCCTCGATGTTAAAATAAATTAGAACGAGCCTCCCTGCAAGTAGAAGCCCAACAGCAGAGTTCTGGCCTTTTGCTGGTCAAGAGTGCATTGGGAGAGCTGAGTTCAAGTCCTCCGCTCATTCCCATGATGCTCACCGGATGACCTTGGACCCTTCATTCTCCCGCAGCATATCCCTACCTCACCGGGTTATTGGGAGAATTAAAATATCGGTGGGAAGGAACCATGTGAGCTGTTTGGAGGGAAATAAATAGATGATGATAATATATACAAGAGAGGTATCCAAAATTTAATTGGAAGGGGTACAGAACATTCCGCCTCCTAATTTTGCTGCTGCAAATGTTAGATTTGCTGCTGCAAATCTTAGAATCTTTCTGTATTGCTTTTGCAGAGAGGCCTGCTTTTTCCATCTCTGCAGAGTCACAGGAAAATGCCATACAGAGTAGACAGATCCTTGGTCCATCTAGCTCAGTACTGGCTATGCTGATGGGCAGTAGCTCTCCAGGGTTTCCTATTGGGTCTCTGTGTGTCTCTTCCAGCCCTTACTTGGAGACACTGCTGGGTATTGAACCTGGGACCATGCAAAAGCCAAGCGGATGCTCTGCCCGAACGCCAGCCTCCAGCCCTTCCCCTCCCAGTGATCTTAGCTAGGCCACCCTTTGACTCTAGAAACTTTCCAGCAGTAACCCTTGGGAGTGCTTCCACCTGTTGTCTTTGCATTATTTTTATTTTCTCATCTTATATTTATTTGTTCTTTGGGCAGATGGCTTTGTGGCTGAAGCACAATTATGGCAGTTTGTAGGCTAAGGCCTGGCTTGGCCTGGATGCTGGACAGCCTCCGCTGGAACAGAGCTTTCCTGGCACCTTTACCATGCAGAAGTTGCAGCCACACTTGTTCCTCTCCGGCAGAGAAGCAGCGCACCTATTGGCAATATCTGCGGCGCAAAGTCTTGAAACCTCCCACCCCACCCTACAGCCACGTCTGCCAGGTGGGGGACCCCATTCTGCGCTCCTTGGCTGCCCCCGTGGAGCCCTCACAGATTGCCAGTGGTGAGGTGCAGACCCTCATCCGTACTCTGGTTCGCGTGATGAGGAAAGAACAATGTGTGGGTCTCAGTGCTCCTCAAGTGGGCGTGCCACTCCAGATCTTTGTGGCTGAGTTCCCCGAGAGGCTCTTCTATGAGCACACCCCCAGCATGCGCCAGGCTTGCCAGATGGCCCCCTTCCCCCTGCATGTGGTAGTGAACCCATCCATGAGGGTGCTGGACTCCCAACTGGTCTCTTTCCCCGAGGGCTGTAAAAGCATCAGTGGATTCTCTGCTTGCGTCGCCAGATACCAAGCCGTGGCAGTTTCCGGTGAGCTGGCAATGTTATTCCTTGTAGCTTTAATACACTTGGATGAGGTGTGAGCTTTGGAGCTGGTATAGGTGTGTGGCAAGCCTCAGGTGTTCAAACTTGGCTCTATGTTGATCTTATGAGGTGTTATTAATGCAAACGGGAATCTACATTATGCATTCCAATTGTGGGAACGTAGCTAAGTACAAACTCATGGCACCAAACAACTTTCCCCCACACTGCCTGTCAAAATGCGCATGTTTTTATCCCAAAGCCTTTCATCAGTAGCACACTCACATGTTGCTTTTCTGTTATTTGGTGTGACTGTGGACAGGAGGTGTAGCAAGGGACAATTTATGTATGAAAAATGGAATGGGGAGAGTGGGTGGGTAGAACATCAGGGGCATGTGTTTCTCCTGCTTACCGGTACTTGCGCTGTCCTGCTGTGGAATCTTTCAGAAGTCTCTTTTCTAATTTTTGACAGGGCTGAGGGGCACAGCTGGTTTCAATAAGTACCAGCAAAAAGCAGGGACAGGTAGATACTCTCTGGGCCCAGGGAGCCTGCACTGGGCCTACAGCTTGGGGAAAGTTCAGTCAGATATACATGTTCCTACAAGGGGAGTGATTCATTAAAGCATGACAGGACCCCAGAGCTGCATTTCTCACTGGAGTTCCTCTTTTTCCCTTCCCCAGGTCTGAATGAAGTTGGGGAGCAGTTTAGCTGGCCGGCAAGTGGCTGGGCAGCCCGCATCATCCAGCATGAGATGGACCATCTGCAGGGTGTGTTGTATATTGACAAGATGGACAGCAGGACCTTTGTGAATCTGCAGTGGGAACAGCTAAATGAATGAAGCAGGACTGGGCCCAGGGGGGCGGGAAGCGAGAGGCCACTTTTTCTCTGCCTGCTGTTCCTAAGTATGTCCAAACCAGTGAAAGGGGCAATAGAAAGAGAAGGTGGACACTTCCAATGTGAGGGGGTTCAATGATGTTTTTACTGCTTGACATCTTTACTTTCCCTATTTGTGGCATGAGGAGAGGAAGCTGGGCAGGTAAGCTGGGCATAAGCATGCCCTTTCCCCACCCCACATGGTGCTGCAGGAGTTTTTTGGGGTTTTTTTTTTGGGGGGGGAATACTAAGAAAGCAGAAGCTGTTAAAGGGTAGCAATTCAGTATCTTTCAACTGCTGCACAGCATTCTCTTGGCCAGTGCACTGTACAGTACCTTAAAGGAAAATGGCTTTGTCCAATTTCAACCAGTGGAAGCTCCAAACAGAACCCCTCCAAAGCAACCCTAAACAACTTGATCATCTACTAATGGAGCCTATCTCCAGCCGCTCATTTGAGGTGGGGGGGGGGGCAAAATTCAAGAAGAAAAAGCAGTGAGATGGCCTTCTCCAACTTCTACCTTGACTAGTGAAGTAAGCTAACATGCGGGAAGGTGAGCAAACACTTGTTAAAAGCAACAGACACCAACTAAAACTGCATAGCAATTCACAATAAAAAGGCATTGACCACCTCTTCACCTGTAATACCTCGCCATGTTTTACTTCACAACATAATACGTAACTGTATTTTAGTAATGTTTTAAGTTGTCTGTTTTTGCTTCAGTCTTCTGTACACCGCTTACAGATATTTTTAATAGATTAAGCAGTATAGAAATTAAACAATCAACTCATAAAATAAACCTCTTGATTTTAATAAAACCTCTTAAAGAGATTTACAGATTAAATGCACCCACAACCCCCTCCTAGCTAGCTAAATTGTGCACAGAGCTGCTGGCCTCAACGCTCTAGCACCTTCAGCTTGTAGGGATGTGGATTGCATCTGTGGTGTGGGAAGGAGATAAGACTAAGCAGAATAAAGGAGACTGCCTCTTCCTTCATCTCCTGTGGAGAAACGGTGAAACAAATTGTACCATTGTATGTTGCTTGTAAAAAATCAGCTGAATATATAAGAGACAAATAGTTCAACACTTTATTCTTCCATAAACTGTCCCTCCCCACACTGGAAACAACTCAAAATTATGTACACATGACAAGAAAGGGGGCAGGGGGTGTACAGGCCGCTAAACCCCTTGACAGTTAAGAGGTTCTCACAGCTATTCACTTGAATTTCTAGAGACCAAGAGCTCCCACCCTCCCCTACATGCCTTCCTCAGTAGTACTAAGACAAGAAGACTAAAGCACAGGAAAGTAGCTTTAGTGGCAGAGAAAGGTGGATTTGTTGAATTAGGAATCAGCAGTTACCTTCAGGGAAGCAAAAACCCTGCTGTAAGTAGAAGCCTATGCTTAAGCATTGCCAGCCTCCTCCACTTGTGGCACAAGAGCCATTGCCTAGAGCCAATGGGGTGGAATAAATGAGTCCTTTGCCTCCCCATGGCATGGATTTTTAAAAAAGACACTCTAGAGCCCCAGATTGCAGCAGAGACACACCAGCAGAGGCCCAACCATGAGCAAAGGAGCCATGGGGGGCAGATCTCCCACATGCTGCAGCTGCAAAGGCGGGAGAGCTCCATCTCCTTTGCAGGACTTTGCCAGCACCTGTGTGCTGACAGGTGCCCAGTTTGCATTCCTTAGTACCGTCACCTCTTGTGCCACAGCTGGAAGAGCAAAGACGTCATCCCTTTCTGAGAAGGAGCAGGCTTGCTGGGTTGAGCCACAGTGCCAGGATAAGGCTGAGGGGCTTGGAGCTGCAGCCCTCCTCATCCCTGTTCTGCTCCCCTTCTGCTTTTTCTGTGCCACACATGCAAAACGCTACAGAGCTGAAGGGCAACAAATTCTGCAGCAACACAGCATCCTGTGGGGCAGAGCACATTTTCAGATACCTTACCTCAAGCCATGCCAGGCCTTGGCAGGGTAAGCTTCTTGGACAGCACTTCCAACATGAGTACCTCAACTCCAGGAGAGAGCTGAGCATTAGTTAAGCCTTGGAGTGTATTTCTAACTGGGGGAGCTTCCTGCCACTTTGGCTGAGCCAGAAGAAGGCCACACTCTTCGAAGTTCAGATCAAGCTTGGAAGTGCAGCATTTCAGATTTCAAGGAGTAAGCAATGGCCTTAGGTGAAGCCAGTTCGGTTTTCTCTTTGGGGTGGCACCAGGTGTTGCTTCCACAGGAGCTGGAAGGGGTCTCAGGAAAAAAGGGTTGCGGTATAGTGGAAGTTTCGGATTGTTTTTATTTGTATATAAACAAGCCAAGCAGCGTTAGAGGGGGGGAAATGAAAGAGCAACCATGAAGGTAGGGATGTCTGGATGGGAAAAAACCAGAGCGGGCTGGGCTCAGCCTTCTCCCCTTTGTGTCCATCTCCCAGAGTAGCAATGGAGGCTGTGTCACCTCATCCTCTTCCTTCCCCAGCCAAGTGCCCCAAGCAGAGACAGATTCAGTAGTAAGCTGGATGCTAACCTCTGCCTGGCACAGTCCACTGTCAGCACAAAGGGCCTTGTCTACACACATGTCCATGGTAAAATGCCCCCCATCACCGCTGCTCCTCATAGGCACAGCATTAGCCCTCCTGGCCAAAGTCTTCAGTGAACTTCTTCACCTTTAGCAGATCCTCTGTATTCACGGTGGGGCGGGTGGTGGCCAGTGAGCGCAGCATGTCCGACTGCAAAAACAGAATAGGACATTCAGGGATGGGGTATACATGCATCTTGGTCACAAAAACCACAAAGGTTTTAGGAGCTGAAACTCCTCACAGTCATCTGGAAGGGGCATTTCCAAACCTGCAGCTGCCATCCAAACCTGCTTGGTGCACATCAGAGTTTGTATCAATTACACAGGAGAACAAGCCTGGGACTCAGAAAGAAGAGGGTCCTGGCAGGAAAAAGTCAGGGGACCTCACTCACCATGCAGACTATAGGCTCCAGAAGCTTGTCCCCAGGTACCTCCATCCATGTCATTTCAATAGCACCAGGATCTCCCGGGGAACAAGGGGTTAATAGATCATCTACCACCATGCCAGGATTGGTGCGGGATGGTCCACGGACCTGCAATAAGGACCCAGACAGCGCATTGATGTAGCAGATTCCTGGGGGGTGGAGGCAGGCTGCACACAAAACTCTTAGGTCCTGGTAGGACAGGTATAGTAGCAATGCAAGACAGAAGCAGGTGGAACAAAGAGTCAGTCCCCCTGCAAGTACACTAATCACTCTGTTTGGAAGGAACAGGTAGGCCATCCATCCATCCAGCAACAGCCATCTGAATACTGCAGGGACACTTGTCAAGAGAAGCACAATGCCAGTCCCCAACACCACATATTAATCCATAGCAACTGGAAAGTCAGAAGTCTCATCTGACCAAAAGGGTTTAATTTAATCCTCTCAAAAATATTTATGAAAGTTGCTGTGACATTATTAAAGCAGAGGAATGCCTGGGAGCCCCTCAAAAACTGCTTGAGTATTCCCCCAAAACAAGAGCAGGACGTCCATGTAAAATAATAAGTACCAGGTATACAGAAGTGAAGAAGAACAAATACAGAGAGGCAAGTGCAGCTGCGGGAATATACTGGGTGAGGTAGGAAAGGAACTGGAGAGAAACCGCCTCTGCCTGCCCAGGGCTAGACAACGTCACATGACCCTGCCTGGGAAAGGAAGTGGAGCAGCTGAGTCCACTGAGAAGGTGGAATCTTCGGCTGCTTCACTCCCCAGCAGAAGCTTTGAAGCAACAAGAGGATGGGCCAAGCAAGGGGAATCTACCTTCCAGCCTGCCCTGGCACAGCCCTTGTAGGAAATGCCGTCCTCACCTTTTTGAAGTGTGTGGCTGACTGCACCTTGCGGACAGGCTGCATGAGGGCATCGCGCACAATGATGCTGATGTCAGCCCCTGAATAGCCGTCAGTCTTCCGGGCTAATTCGTGGATGTTGGCTTCTGTCAGGCTGTGTGGCGTGTTGCCAAGGTGCAGCTTAAACATCTGAGCCCTGGCCGGCTCCTCGGGAAGCGGGATGTAAATACGTTTCTCAAACCTATGTGCAAATGTAAGCAGACATGTGACAGTCCGTCCCCAAAGGGAGAGGGAAAAAGTTGCTGCTTCCCCTGCCTTCTTCCCACACCTACGAAGATTCTGCTTGGATGCAACCATGTGCAGAGGTGAGGTGTATGGCAGCCTCCCCCCAGCCCCAAACTAATGGGCTATGTTGTGTCAGCTGAAAACATTACTATTTGCACAGACTTTTGATGAAGATTAGCACCCTTTGATCAGATTTTTTAAAAATGCTGTTTTAAACGTGTGGTTTGTTTGTTTGTTTAGATTTATGTTATGTTTTGCTGACAGCATGCAGTTGTGGTCTGAGGAGACCCTGAGATCAGATCCATACTCAGTCATAAAGCTCTCTGGGCCAGTCACTATCTGCTCAGCCTAAGCTCACAGGGTGACTGTGGGGATGGAACTGGGGGTGAGAAGAACCACGAACACCCCCTTTGAAAGACAGGATATAAACGTAATAAAATTTAATATATTGCTGGTTTTAGTCCTGTTATAAGCCCCTGCAGACACTACAATGGATGAAACACAAGTATTCCTCAACAAAACGGAAACAGCCCTTCAGACCAGGGTGCAGGGAGACCTCTTGCTGTTTTGGGGGCTATAAGACTGTCCATGTGGGCAGCAGGAGCCCCAGAAAAACCTGCAGCATCACCCACCTTCGCCGAATGGCAGCATCTAGCACCCAGGGGATGTTGGTAGCACCCAGGACCAACGTGCCATCATTGTCATTCCCGACACCTGTCAAGAAAGAAAGCCACAAATCGTCACTCCACACTGGGGAAGGCAGAGAGGCAGACCAGATGCTCCCCAGTGCAAAGGGTCCTCTTGGGCAGTCTCTCTCCTGTCGCTCTGTCTACCCACCTTGCATTTGTACCAGGAACTCTGTCTTGATCCTGCGGGCTGCCTCACTCTCATTCTCATTGCGAGAGCCGCACAAAGAGTCCACTTCGTCAATGAAGATGATGGAAGGCTTATGCTGCCTGGCCAGCTCAAAGAGGTTCTTCACCAACCTAAAGGAAAAGGCACAGCAGAAAGCTCAGGGAAGGGCCATTGGAGGCCACTGGCACATATGACAGGAACCATAAAATAAAGACTACAAACCAAGCCTGTGTCCAAACAACTGTGGCAAAATGCGGCAAATCTAAAGCCTTCCATAGACACCCATTTTGCACAGTTCTAGCCCCGCCTCTATCTGTCTCCCCACCCCAGATACTTTGGGGCACAGCCAATGGTCAGGGATTATGTGAGCTGGAGTTCAGATTGGGTGGGTGGGGCACTAACCACCCCCATCATACCCTAATAGGAGCATCTTATTCCACTCCATAGACCAAGCCGCACTCTCCTAAGTGAGAGAGATGGTTCTCCCCCTCCCCCACTTCCCCCATGGATTTTGTCACTCACTTTTCACTCTCCCCTAGCCACTTGGACATCAAGTCTGAAGAGGAGATGGAGAAGAAGGTGGAGTTGCTTGCTTCAGTTGCTACAGCCTTGGCCAGGTAAGACTTCCCAGTACCAGGAGGGCCAAAGAGGAGAATCCCTCGCCACGGAGTGCGCTTACCTGGGGGCAAAGAGAGAGGAGATGGACTCATCCACCCCTCGCAACATTTAGCATGCCCAGCGGAACAGAGGTGCCCAGATTCTCACCTGTGAATAAGTGAGGGAATTTGATGGGCAAGATGACCGCTTCCTTGAGGGCCTCTTTAGCTC